CTGAGCAAAACAAGTTTCCTTAAAGCGGAGGTTTCCTTAACGCGAGCATCGTTAAAGCAGGGTCGACTGTATACGTACTGCTGTGGTGCATTGGCAACACACCGCAGACCCCGCCCACTTGTGCTTTTTCAGGGTTTGTCTACCAAAATCCTGGCTTCCAACGTGACTGCGTGTGACACAGTGTTTGTAGGTGCACTTCCTGACGGCCGCACAGCTGCTGGAAGCACAATGTACACCTGGCGCAACGACGTACCAAGGTCGAAACTACATGCAGAGTTGTGGCGAGATTTGCAGGCGGAGGCCTCTCTTACGTAGACTTTTTTGTACATGTGCCGGCGGTTCGTGCGTCTCAAAGACGTCCGCGATCACGGTGTGTGTTACTAGTTATTTGGCCTTCTTGGGCAGGCAACAGCAGGGGAATTCCACCACTGAACAGAAGGGTATATGTCATCCCTCAATCTGGTTTGTCAAAACTCTTGACAATGTACCTGGTACTCTCCACCTCATATATTTTCCATGGCCCTTACTCGACCGGAAATCAACCCGAGCTACTGCTGTATGCCCAGCCTTACTCATAGAACCAAACACACTCAGGTCAAGTCTTTCACACCACACCATAAGGTGCTGCGTTCAAAACTGCTGTACCTCAACTCTTAACGCTCTTACGAAAACTGGGATTGACTCATGGCACGATAGAGGACGGTTAATTTTCAATGCAGAGTTCGCGAGGCATCATTTCACGGGACACACCGAACGGGTCCCCGAAACTCTCGGCCAATTGGCCCTTCACGATAATTCGCGTGCTGATGGGAGAGATACCCCCTTGTAGCTGCCGATATGGAACACTGAAGGACGTTGGTTATCGTTGGAAAGGTCGAAGCGTGAAAAATTGGCTCGGTGCTCAGGCACAATTTAGCAGGCCGGGGGCGCATTAGACAGCACTTGGGAGCGGCATTGGTTGTCAGGGTACGAGAGGACACTGAGAGGACACTGGTACTTGATACTTCCTCTGTATCATAAGTTAGGGTACCTAAATTTGTACGGGCCCTTAACCGTGTCCGATCTGTTTTTCGATTTTTTTGTTGAAATCTTCGGAGTTTTTTGAGCCAAGAAACATTTATTTTAATAGTTTTTTTTTGAAAAAGTGGGGCCCGTTAGGGGTACGCTTTTTGTTTTGTTTCGCAAAAAAAAAGCTGTTTAGAGGGATCTTGTGTGGAGTATGTGCGCACGAGAAAAATAATAATTTTCATGCACAGGGGCGTGAAAATTTAGCCATGGCTGTCTGGTGTCTGGTGTCTGTCTGCGCGCCCTAAATACCCAGCAGACTTGAGCCCATTTCACCATCTCGGCACCAAATTGCAAACTAAAACTTGCGCACAACAAGTAATATTTTGCCCGAGCTGTCCCAACCGCTACCTGTGCAATCCGTGATCGGTGTCTCGAGATAGCACACCGTTTGTGCAAATATATATGTCACATGGACGCA